AAAAAAAAAAAATCACATGAAAAAAAGAAAATAAAACCAAAAAGAAAAAAAAAAAACCGAAGATATCATCATATTATCACACTCTTTAACTATACGTACCTGTATCCGTACGAGAGGCATAAAATGGCTCAGCAGCTGGTGAAGAATTGCTCACCTGTCGTATTGTATCATTAAAGATGGTGGAGTGTGCTCGAGAGGGTCTAAATGTGAACTCCGCATCGGACTCATGCAAGGAGGAATTCCTAACATCTCCACCTTTTCCCCTATTATTATTATTATTATTATTATTATTATTATTATTATTATTATTATTATTATTATTATTATTATTATTATTATTATTATTATTATTATTATTATTACTTAATCCTGTTCCTGCGGCCGCCACAGCAGCACTAACACTACCAACATCTCCACCAGCACTACAAAGACCTGTCGCTGTCGTCGTCGTTGTCGTCATTGTCGCTGTAGCAGGAGATTCAAATATCTCCCGCTTTCTCTTTTTCTTTTTCTCTTCATTATTACCATCTGAGGCATTCTTATTATTATCATCATCATCGGCACGAATGACCATCTCCAACTGCACACTCCGCGCATGCGACTGCAACACCGCCCGCTGTCGCTCCCAATCATCATTCACAATATGGCGCTGCATTAAATGTCCAATATCCCGCCGCACAATAGCACGTCGCTTCACAGACTGTCGGAATAGTACAGCCAACACAAATCGCATAAGTGTAAAGAGAAACCCAACACCCAAACACGCCTCAGAGGCAACAGCAACATTCGATAAATGAGAACGATGAAATTTAACATCTTCACCAGCAAAAATAACACGTCCTACAGTACTTCGTGCATATCGTACACAAGGAGAAAAAAACATTCCAATTGCCGCTGAGTGTAGTGAAATTGGAATAAGAAAAAGAACAAACACAGTAGCGATTAATATTGTGGTTGTCTTACTTAAAGGAACTACACAAAACGAACAAAAAATTAATACCACTACGCTAGAAATAAAACTAGACAAGAAAAGTCCACAAACCGCATGAAATCCTTCCACAAAACGTGCACAATCCACATAAACAAGATCTACATTTGATGACATTTCACATACATGAGTTCCATTATTGGTATATATTAGTGGTTTTGTAGCGATATGAACTGCATCTGATGCACCTGTACTTTGACCCTTCAAAGTAATAGTACCCGTTGCCGTATCTTTCCCGTAGTTCCCAACCACTATCCCTTGCAGAACACATGAGACTAGAAGAAATAACAAAGCGGCCTGCAGTACAACATCACGAGGAAAGAGATGACAAAGTGCCAAACCCATTATCTAAACTAACCTACATCCCCAATAAAAAGAGAAAAAGAAAATATATATATATATACATATATGTATACAAATCAAAGAATTTAATTGAAATACCGTTGTTGTAACCAAAGTAAAAAAAAAAAAAAGAAACAAACAATTCTATACACTTCTTTTTTTAATTTTTTATTTTCCTTCCATCACCATTACTACTACCACCCCCTTCCCTGCTCCTTATCAGCTCCCTGAAGTACTGCGGGTAAGGTGAAGAAGTAGAAAACCCCGCTCTCAACCCCACAACTGACGCAGAGAGAGTATTAACATTACACACCGCGATTACAGTTCACTCCCACAGTTCTCTTTCTCTCTCTTTTTTAGGGAGTGAGAGCTAATCCTGACAAAAAAAAAAAAAATTTAAAACAAAGGGGAAAAAAAAAATAGTAGGAACACTATCAAAACACTAATATAGGTTACAAACTACAGATGAGCGATACGCAGACACACAAGAGAAAGAAGAGACCATTTACACAATGGTATAACGATTCTGGTGGTGCAACACTTGACTCTCTCCCCTAAGAGAAGTTTCACAACAACAGCCACCAGGGTTTGCACCGTGAAAGGTCAGTTCACGATGGGTCTGACACGCAGAACATACAGTACAACATGTGGAGGCCAAACACGTCGTCACGCAGCCTTCTCCGAGGGAATATTTCTCGGAGACTCTTTGGCGTAAACAACACATGGCGGGCACAGGGAAAAAACAGACTCCTAGACAATAGCAGAATGAACATTCATTAGGAATCCCAGCAACAGCATTATACTGGCGGCTAACATTGCATGAGAAGCAACACCATACATCTAAGGTGCTTCCACAGTCATTAAAGCAATCGAAGAGTCCAGTACTGAATCCCATTGTATGAATACAGATTTGCCTTTCTCTAAAGGAAAACGTAAAAAAAAAAAAAAAAAGAAATTCCAGCACTACCACTCACATCACGTACACTCGACAACAAATTCAACAACAATCAACATCACACCCTGTTCAAACAACAGAAAGAAAAAAAAAAATACACACCGACCTTGTTCACAATTTCCCTTTAAAAAAAAAAAAAAAACTATTAAATTCCCAAAACCAAAGAGATTACCATTTGCCTAACAAAAGTTGTAAACAAAAAAAAAAAAATCTCCTTAAAAGAAATTTCCCGAAAATAAAACTTATAAACAAACTTTAAATAGATTCCAGGGGGTTTACCTCATCTGTGCGGTGCTGGGGGGAAAGCAACAATTCCCAGGATTCGCACCGCGCATCGTCAGTTCACGATGCGTCTGACACGCAGAACAAGGAAAACAGCACCATCCCAACAAAATCGTTTCAGGTAGACTTTCTTCAAGCTTATACTTTTCAGACACTTGATGTCGCAAACACCACATTGAAATCACAGGACAAAAAGCGGTAAACAAACAATATGGAAGTGAAAACTGGTCTGGAACACCTTAAACTGAATTATATTGACGACTAACGTTGCACGTAAGGCAGAAAGCATTCTCCAGACATCCGTTACGGTCTGTCATACAATCAAAAATACCAGAACTAAAACCCATTGAACAAACGAAAAAAGAAACTTTTCTTCAACGACTAAAGAAGAAAAAAAAAAATAAAAAAAAGTATAAAACACACAACAAAACGAAAAGAAAAAGAAAAAGAGAAGAGAAAAAAAAAAAAGTGTGCGTAAGAATCAAGACGAGAAACCACTAGTCAAGGGAACAAGGAAGGTCCCAACCCCACCTCCCACATCACTCATTGCGACACCACCCTCATGCAGATTCACGAATAATAGAAATAGTGCACGAAATAGTGGGATAACAAGTGGGTCAGACGCTCTCACATTGCACACTCTTATCCCTACTTGTCAAGGTCAAAATAGAAAAAAAAAACAGCTGTTAAATTTTTCGGTGATAAAATAGTAATAGGTGAAAAGTCTGTTTTTGCTCGTAGATGGCATCAGTGTATGTATGAAACCAGTTCAAGATGTGAACACTAGTACATACCACCCATGCCACCCATACCGCCCATTCCTCCCATACCACCGGCTGCTGGGCTTTCCTCCTTCGGGAGATCCACAACGGCGGCTTCGGCGGTCATCAT